TTCTGCCCTTTGACCTGCCTGGTGTTCTTATAACCATTTCCAAAGATGGTAGAAATAATGGATTTTTTTGTGAGACGATGAACATTATCCGAACATAAAATGAGGCGTATATACGAGTTGCTTCAACCATCAGTTCTCAGTGATGTGGAGAGTCCTCTCAGAAGGTCGTTAAAATCGAGCGCTCTCCTCTATTATTCATACTTTTTTACCGTTTTGTGCTGTATGTGGGCGGAAATGAATTGGGTATTAACGGAATTTATTTTTAAAAACTAATGGCTTTTCTTGAGGTATTATACAATTTTCAAGACCTCCACATTTTTTAAGACATACATGTCCCGCAATTCAGCACTAAAACCGGCTGGCTGAGTTTTGGACCGCAATAATATAATGTCCAATCCATAGGAAGTAAATTTATGGTTATAAACTACACAATACAAACAAACTACAAATACAAACTACTAATACAATTACTCTATCAAATGGTTGATTAACGAAATAGTATAAAAACATATAAAAAGGTAAATATCCATAAAGAATTAAAAATGAATAGTTTCCATAAACACGCGATTGACTGTATAGGAATTGAAAACAAAACGTGTTTTGATTTCAGAATGAATAGCTTTTATACTGTTTTTTTTAGAATCACTGAGGCGTACAAAATCAACCCATGTAAGGATCAAATGTATGTTTATAAAGTAAAGACTTCACTTTTCGTAAAACGATGTTCATTACAGAAAATTTCTGGAACGAGAGGTATAATAAATGCTAATACCTTTTTAGTTTTGTAACAAAGAACCAAGTTTGAACAGTTATTGCCGTTATCTGGATATGAACTGAACTATTAAACTCCGTTTACAATGTAGTTAAGTAACTATGTAGTTGATGCCTCGAAAGATATTGGTTGGAATTTTGTAGAAAAGCTTAATAATTTATTAATTATTATTAGGTATTAATAATATTAGTTACCCACTTATTATACACATTAATAGTAAAGTAGGTTTTAACGGGTTGCTGTATATCTACCTAATTTGTATTTATCCAGACATTTATTGTAATGCTAAATTTATTGAAATATCAGACTATCTTTCCCAGATCAACGGCTCTGTAAATTTGTCCCTAAATTTACATATTCCGCTGTTCACACAGTTGGGAATTCGAGTACTCTCTCTTACGTACGTGACAATACAAGATTGTAATTTGCACTTTGAAGGTTCACTTCTCACTTCAAGCCTGATTGTTGAGTGAAAATCAGAAAAATTTCCATTGTTGCCCTTGATACCTTTCGGCCTTCGGCTCATAACACGCACGGCCTCTCTTTGCTAGCAAGAACATTTTTAGTTGGTTGGTTGGTACTTGATCCGAGTATTCAAATGTCGATAATGTCACGGTAGCCATAATATAAGTATTCAAGATAGATGTTGGAAATATTTTATTTCTAACTGTAATAAGTAGTGAAACACATGTTACAAATACACCTAACGATTGTATAAAAACCAAATATTTCTGGTGTCACTTATAATTAATAGCTACGTTAAAATTGATAGGTGAAACGAACATAGTTTGAAGCGCAAAAGGATATAAAACTGACGTACGATCTCACAGTGCCGAGTCCTTTCGGCACCAAAAAAGGCGTGGGGGAAGCGGCTTCGCAAGATTGTTGGAGAAATGGTGCATTTTGCCACCAACCTCAAAATCGACGTCGTCTAGTGGCATTCGGAAAACATTCATGTTGGCTAGAAGCATTACACTCAACTTAGACATACGGATAATGTAATAAATTTACATAGAGAGAGTCCGTAAAGTGAGTCAAGTTAAAAGTACCCGAAATAAAAAAGCTTATTTGAAAGAACTAATAAGGTTGGAAGAAGCTAAACAAGTATCTGGTAAACATTTAACACTTTTTTATGGTAGAATAAGTGAGCATTTCTCCTCCAACTCACGTTATGGAAAGTGACGTTGAAGCGTGCACTAGGGATACCCATTAGGATACGCATTAGGGATACCCTGTATCGCAGACACACAAATAGACAACTACAAATCAAACCCAAACTCACGAGAGAAATAAATGTAGGTCATACAAATATTTCTCTTGACTAGGGAATCGAACCCGGGACCACTGCGTGGCATTACAACATGGTAACCGTTCGAACAAGGAGGCAGTTACTTTATTATTTATTACTACGTGATCTTCTTTTCTTCCAATACTAATATAATTTTGTTATAGATTGATACCTACTATAATCTAATTGCCAATTCTGTTTCGGATGATTGATTCTAGATTGTACTGGAATTGATACTTTGTTTAGCTGTCTAGTCATATAAATAACTACCTAAATATGAGAATTGTGTGTTTGAAGTTCGTCCGTTAATTAATGTTACAACTAGTATTAATGTGGCCTGTGGTTACAACTGTAATTAATACATAGGATGTAACAACCAAGAAAATTTAAATAAGTAGCTGAGAAAATATAATAAAAATCTAATTTCATTTATCTTTATGGTAATATTACTAAAGTTGTATTTTTGGCCTCGTTTTGTCAAATCATCGCTTGTTAAAATCGAGAATGAAATCTTCCCCCTAGCGTCATTGTGGGTTGACAGTTATTGTCCAAGTTTCTATTACACGACGACTCGTATCTTGGAGTTTCTAAGTTAATGTACTATTGATGTCAGCACTCTAGAGGAGTACTGGTATGACAGCGTTATGTTAAAGGTCGGTACAACTCTCCTAAACAGTCCTTTGATTTTAAATTGAAATGTGACGCAAAGTTTGCTCTCAATTTCTGAAGGTTCGCCTCGTTTTGTTGCAAAAACTTGACCTAAAATATTATATGCACAACAACTGGGTAAATTTCCTTGAAACAGTATCTGCAGTTACCATGAAATGTTCCTGTTCTACTTTTTATTTTACAAATGATTTTGAGTAATGTTTTTTCAACTTTAAACAGAAAAACGAATAATTTTCTTAAAAGCAATTGTCATTACAGTAAAACGTAATTTTCTAGGCAACAGTGAATGGATATTATTAGGTGTGCAAGCTCCATCGTCGTCCTCATCGCCACTTTCCGTCAGGTGAAATGGCCACTATTATAACCAAAATCTTTGCTTTAGTTATAATAGAGTCATGAATCTATTTACATTGGAGCCATTGACATAGAATTCGTATTTAAATTTGATCTGAAAATTTAAATTTTGAAAGGCCAGGTCAAAAGTATCCTTAACCAGCAGCATGAATTAAAGCACTGATGACGCGTATTTATTAGGCGAAAGGTACATATGTGTCGGTTCGTAGCAAAAGTAAGGTTGTTGTTTCTGCCCACCCGGATGAAAAAAGGACATGAAGTGTATTTGAAAAAGTTAATTACACTTGTTAATGACACTTAAAACTAGGGTTCGAAATTAACAAGGTTTTCTATTCTAATATTGCCTGGAAGAAATTGCTACTTACCAATAAGGTCGCCTGTTGCACATTGGCTTACTCTGTGGTACTTATTATAATGTGTTCCGGTTTAATGTATCTCTTACTGTTTTGTGTTGTCATTGTAATTTTAATGTGGAATAAAGAATATTTCATTCATCAAAATATATTTATTTTATTTGATAATTATCATTGTATTTATCTGATATATGTCCGATAAATATCCGTGATGATTCATAGTTCTCTTCAATTTTTGACTAAAAATAACAAACAGTGAGAATACTAAACCAAAGCAAAGGAAAGGCTTTGTGTCTTTTCTGATGTTAACATTTTTGACACGTTTAAATACCTCTCGGATACAAATATATGGCACGAAATTGATAGCATTTTGTTCTTCCAATTAATTTTACAATATCTTGATATTTGTAAAATTTGATATTTGTATATTTATCAAATAATTATCGCAAGTTAATTATTATTTTTTTAAATTTATTAAAGTTTTGCGTATTTTGCATGTTGTGTTCACATCAAGTAGGATATATTCTGATCGTGTCACTATGTAAATGAAATACTTGTAGTTTATATCTGAATTGTATCCAGTTTTGTGAACCGAATTTAAAAAAATTATCACTTCGAACACTGGTTAAAACGCTTCGAGGAAGATCGAACTTTATTTGTTAAGAAGATAGATGGAGGTGTAAAACGTTAGTTATAATCTAAAATATCTATGGCTAAATTTAAATTTAAATTTAATACTCAAATTTGGTAAAAAAATATGTGCAATTGAAGTCTTCTTTGCAAGATTACAATTGTCTAAAACATGTTTCATTAATAGACTCGGTTAACGAAAAAGTGAAAAATGCTGCGGTGGCTGTGCCCATACTTCTGTAGCTAAAACAAAGGTCCACAAAGGGCCAGCGTTACCGCGCATCGACTACGTAGCAACAAATTTAAATTTGCAGTTGCTGAAATACGGCACTACATACAAGTTATTATTAAGATTTGTCCCTCCCTTACCCGCAACTCTTCCCCTTATCCATGGCTGCGATATTGTAAGGGAGCAAACCTATTTTTGTGAACGTCCACGCCCGCCTGGTGAACGACAGACATAGAGTATGAAGCAGTAGACTGGTTGAAACATATATCAGATTTTGAAAACTACGATGTGACTAGAAACTTAGGTGCAGGGGTTATCATAGCGTTATGAATTATAGCTGAACACCGTCTTCAGACTTCGTGGTTACGAATCATGAGACATGTATAGGAAGGACCAATTAATTGGGAAAAGTTTTCTTCGTATACTAATATGTACATTAGTGTTAGTCCATCGCTGGACTTCTCTAGATAAAGAACATTTAGAATAATCGCTACCCTTGGCAGATGGGTTTGCCTAGCCTCTAAACCTATGTACACTGATTTTTTGCTACTAATGCTGCATTATGATATGATACAAGCAGAAAGATTCTAACTGAAAAATGTACAGCATACCGTAACCTCTACAATGCATTTTACTTAACCGATCCTCTGGCTCCTTCATAATCTTTCAGGTTTTGCGAGCGTCGTCGTCGTCGCGCAGTGGTCGGCCAGTGCCCCGCGCGCCGCGAACCAGTTTGCCTGCGTCTGTCTGTACTGTACACTGTACTCCCTGTCTGTACTATACACCCACATTCTATATTTAAACTAATTTTCTTTTTCTTTAAGTTTGTAGTTGATTAACGTCGTTTGTATACATTTGGTTTTTATTTTGATATGAGATATTTTTTTATAAAGAATGTGGATTAGGTTAGGGGCTTAGAAGATCAATTAGAAGGTAAGTTGTATTTTATTTATCATATAATAATAGGTAATAACATGTTATATACTGTATTTACGTTAAATCAACTACATCTTTAAAATAAATGTCCAATGATGATAGTTTTATTGTTTCATGTTTAAACGCAAAGGCCAAGAAAAATAGCTAGTTATTGACATTTTCGGTGTCGTATGTAGGCTAAAGATTAAAAAATTTTAATGTCCACTCGCTTGCGTAGCAAGACATTTAACAACTAAACTATAATCGCACAAAACGTAATATGGGAATGATAAAATATGCAAATAAAAAATAATAATAAAATAAAATAAGCAATGGGAAAAATAGTACTGATCTCATAACGATCTTTAAACTGTATTTTTAAAGAAGTAAAACAAAAGTACGTAAAGTGAAAAGTCAGAGCTACGAGACCGGGACTGCTACGGGCTACGAGCTACAGCGTAGCATGCAGCGAAAGTGGCTTACAATGGTTGACATTGACAAATGGATGCATTGTGGCTCACGCTTGCAATTCCACGAGATTTATTACGAGCTCTTTGCTGCGATATGCGCAGAATATAATTTGAATGGTTTGTAAGCTATAACAATTCTAGCAGATGAAATCTGATAAATTTAACGAGCGCGATTGTCGAAAGCAATCGGCAAAGGAAACGGGCGGTTAAGTCACGATTCAATTAGCACCCGCTCATTACCCGCCGATGCTTTGACGACCTAATGATGCCTTACTTGGAATCAAATAGACTTATTGATTTATATGTTCGAGTAACTAATACCTATTCAATAGATTGATATTATAAGCGTAGGAGAAGTTCATTACTTTGTTGTACCGTATCAGTCGCGCCGAGGAACGGTTCTTCTGTACGGCTATGATATTTGACTATCTCTGTGGCCTAACGATTTGCACTCTGGGCGCTTGTTGAGAGAACCTCAGGTTCGTTTCCCGATGGGACCAATTTGGGAAATGATTATTTCTAAATTGCTTCAGCTTTGGCAATTTGAAAGTACCTATATTTAAGTAAACTTGTAATATAGTATTGGTCTGAAAAACAACAAATTAATATAACTTGCCTCGCAAAAGGTTGGTTCGTAATTTACGCCCCAGATCAGCGAGCAGCCATTTTTTAAACCAGTTGAAAGGTACTCGGCCCGAAAACTCATCGAGCCAATCAAATTATGATATAATGTGACCCAGAGCTCTGAAGCGATCCCTTAATTCTGATTAAAGGAAGATTACATAATGTAAAAACCGTTTTTAAAAGTATGTTATAGTACACTGGGTTATTCAAATTCAAATTCAAATTTTATTTATTCAGACCACAAAGAGTCCATATGTTTTAGTATTTACTTAAAATAAACAACAAACAAAATGTATGTTAGCAACAATATAAACCACGCAAATTATTTAAGACAGTAACAATAACCGACACACAAATAATTAATTAATAAAATAAATACGTCCAGCTACATTGTTATTTAATACATGGGGCACACTATAAGTTTCCGGAACTGGCCACTTACATAAACAATATTTAAAAAGTAATTACAACATTCAAAAATGGAACTCTTTGGCTGTAGAATACACTTTGTTTCATCTGTCTCTTGTTTTTACATTGTGGCGTCACTTTAGAAATTGGTTGTCTACATCACCATGGATTTAACTCGTGAAAATTTTCGTAGTATGATTTTTTATGACTTTAAGTGTAATTAAACAAAATAACAGCTCAGCGGAGTTTCGCTCGGCTTCAAACTGTTTTTGGCGATGAAGCACCATGCAAGACGATTATTTATAGCTGGTTTGCAGAATTCAAAACAAGCGCGGTCGTGAGAATCTCAGTAACGAATTTCGTGATGGTCCACTGCTGTGAACAACAAAAAAATCGATGCTGTGATCGATGTGACATACTATGAGATTCGGGCATCTTTAGGATAGGCATGAGTGAAATACAATCAATACTACACAAACATTTGGGTGTGAAAAAACTGTGCTCTCGGTGGATCCCACACAATTTCACTGAGTCTCAAAAAACAACTATAGTGACTGAATTCCGAAAAAATAGTTTCATTTCATATCAGTACGTGGTTGATAGCTGTAAAATTGAATGAATGGTAAAGTAATAATGTAATGGGTTCTATTTACAATTCATATGATCGATCGTGTATATATGAGTTGTTGATAAACTGATATATTTCATGTAAAACCTATGGTTTCTTAAATTACATCACTACAAGTACTACGTACAAGTTCATATACGTGTTAGTGATCTTCTACCTGTGTACTAAATAATAATAGGACATATAAACAAATTTTGCCCCAGCATACAGTTCTCTATTTATTATGCTAAAGTTATAAAATTAAACATAAAAAGTAGATCGAGTCAAAAACGAGCTTAATTCAAGCAGGAAGCGTGTGCTAATAAGATTACCTTACAAATTGTGAGCATACGAACCGCCATTAGGGTGTAAGTGAATTAGCAGATGCGACATGGGACCTTAGGGAGAACAGTCTGGAAATGGGGGGTATTTCCAGTCTCTCCTTAATGGACAGGAGCGCTTATACAGATTGGGTATTGTTCTTTTGTTTGAATCAGTGTAGCTTTTTGTTTCAAAAGTAGCGCGTTGCCGCGTCTGAGTGAGGAATTAAATTTTCCTTTCAATAGGTACAACTTTAAATTTTTTTTAAAAGATCAAACTGTATACTCAATTCATCGTACTGTATACCGCTGATTTAATAAATTTATTAGTACAAAAAATGTTCAACAAAATCAGTTACAGTGGCTACATTGTACAATAAAGCGGTCTTATATGTATCTACCTCTTAATTCATTTTGGTAGATAGTACCAATTATACAAGATTTTTTTAAATTTTTTTTAACGTACACAGTCATAGCGCTGCGCTAGGGAAACCCTGTACTGCGAATGGCATGGACACACACAGAAGTAGACAACCACAAATTACACCCAAACTCACGAGAGAAATAAATGTAGGCCATACAAATATTTCTCCTCGCCCAGGAATCGAACCCGAGACCTCTGCGTGGCAGTCCAGCATGGTATCCGTTCGGCAACGGAGGCAGTTCTATATAGTCACATCCTTCCGTATTCAAATGTATAACAATAACAAAACATCGCAATTTTCTTGTAAGTGAATTAGCAGATGTGTTTCGAGACCACAAAGGGGGTTATTTAACATGTAAGGGGGGAAGGGAAAGAGTACGTGGAAAATAGGTTTATTGATTGTGGTAAGCATCCTCCACGAGGACACGGTCCTAATTGCAATAAAGTGCTTTGAGAGAAATGTTAAATGATTTCATTATGTCAAAATGCATAACATCTACAAATTGTTTACAAACCAAACCCAGTAGTGAGAAATTGTTATAACAATTACTCTAGACTCAATAGTAGACAAGATAATTGTTATAAATTGCTATCAGAAACTCCTTTTTTTATTTATATTAAAGATAATATATATGTAAGTATATTTTACCTTGCTTCTAAGTGGCTGGCATTATTTTATAGAAATTACATAGGTATATAAAGAGAGCGATGACATCTTTTAATAGGAATCGCGTCCAAAACTCCTTAAAAAAAGGCTTTACTTACCGTGACCATGGGACCTATAAAGGGCCCGAAACGTCGGTTTGTTTGAAAAAACAAATATACGCTATTTAAATCCGGAAAACTAGTTTCATTTCCTATGTGTAACAATCGCGAAAACCTAAGAACTCGATAGCCTTTACTTTGTTCGTTATTAGCTAATGGAAATGTAACGAAACTGTCGAGCTTTCCAAAGACGTGGGTGATGGACGTTCCATGGGAAACTGGGAAATTTCTCGACTATTAGTTAACAGGCCTTCGGGCATGTAAGAGGTAATATCGCACTGTTAATGCAATAGTGTATTAACTCAAAAAAGCTTATTTTCTCAGAATCGATGAAAAACGAATTACTCGTTTCACGTGAAATATAATTAAAATGTATGTATAGGTTATAGTTTATTACAAACAATTTCGTACTTGCCAAATATATTTAAAAAGAAAAGAGAAAAAAATATTTTATATTTTTGAATATTTTGGTCAGAACTAGCTCACATAAAGCGTGTCTCATTTTTAACCGACTTCAAAAAGAGGAGGAGGTTCTCCTTTCGACTCTATGTTTTTTTTTATGTTTGTTACACGATAACTCTAGTATTTGTGAACCGATTTTCATGATTCTTTTATGTTGGAAAAAGGGTACCTGCATAGTGGTCCCATTTAATTTTGAAGAAAATCATCCACCTCTAAGGATGGCTGTTCACGCATGCACGTAATAGCGCCTAAATTTTATTATAAGGAAATATTATTTTAATGGTTGGTTTTGCTATTCTCCAATTCAAGGCGTTTTCCCTCAATATACTTAAAGTAGTGAGAACCGATTTTTATTATCTCCTGTGTCAAGTCCCGTATAGTGGCGAATCAATCCGGGTTTGCACACTTTCCGGTAACCGATTTCAATAAAACTTGGTAATTATATGTAATTCCACATACTTTTGAAGTCGGTTTTTTTAGTACTCTGTACTGAGATTATGAGTTACATTATTCTAAAGACAGTTTTATTGACGTCTAGAGAATCAAATTTTACATTCAACAATTGTATAATCTTGAATTTGACATATTTTGAGTTATAACTATTGTAATAGCAGTGCGATATGTAAGTATCGATATGGAATTGCGAATATTGGCAACCTATTATCCATGTAGGATTAATTGCGCACTGGTTTTTAACTCGAATATCCTGCGTACGAGTAAAACAAGAGAAATATACGCTTACAGAATAAAAATACTTTTTTTCTAACTTATTACGAAATCATTGTCAAGATATTTTATTAAAAAAATGTTTGCGATGTTTGCTTGTCCGTTTTCGCTGCGTTGTATTACCATTAAAATTACAACTATGTGCCAAGTTTTATTGGAATCGGTTAACGGAAAGTGGGTGAATATCAATAAACCGGAATTATCCCTTAATT